CTTTTTAAAGAAACAGAGAAGGGAACAAAAATGATCACTAAATGTCATCCTTAAAATTATTCCAGCCATCTGCTAAAACAATGTAGATGCACCCTTACAACTGAAATGCAAGAGATCTAGGTTATAGCCTAACAAGGTTATAAGGTTATAACAAGGTCATAACCTAACAAGGTTATAAGGTAAATATCCACATATGCCTTTACTAAATACTTTACTTTGACAAAGTAACTACTTGGGTGGATGAAGGGAATGCTGTAGGTATAGTCTATCTGGACTTTAGCAGGGCTTTTGACAAGATCCCACATGACTGTCTCATAAACAAATTGGAGAAATGTGAGCTAGATAAAACTACTGTAAGGTGGATAGATAACTGGCTTAATAGCTGCAAGGAAAGGGTAATTATTAATGGGTCCATGCCAGAATGGCAGGAGGTTTTGAGTGGAATCTCACAGGGGTCTGTTCTGGGCCTGGTTCTATCCAACATGTTTATTAACTGGCATAGGAAGCTTCTCGAGCAAATTTGCAGATGACATGAAAGTGGGAGGGATTGCAAACACACTGGAGGATATGAATGCAATTCAGAAAGATCTTGACAGATTGGGAAGTTGGGCTGGAGCTAACAGGATAAAGTTCAATGCAGACAAATGCAAGGTGCTACACCTTGGGAGGAATAATCAAAAGACAAATATAAAATGGGGTCACCTGCTTGGATGGCAGCTCTATGGAAAAGGACTTAGAGAGTCATGGTAGACCACAGACTCAGTATGAGTCTGCAGTGTGATGCAGCTGCATGAAAATTTAATATAGTTTTCGGATGTATCAACAGAAGCATTACATGCAAAATATGGGAGGTAATAATGCATCTCTACTTGGCACTGTTTAAGCTTCATCTGGAGTACTGTGTGCAGTTCTGGGCTCCACATTTTAAAAAGGATGTGGAGAAATTAGAGAGGGCCCAGGAGCAGGCAACAAAGATGATAAAGAGCTTGGAGAACAAGCCATGTGAGGAGAGGCTGAAGGAGTTAGGCACGCTCAGCTTGCAGAAAAGGAAAAGGCACTTAAGAAGGGATATGATATCAATCGTTAAATACTTGAAGAGCTACCATAAAGAAGATGGAAAGCACCTTTTTTTCTCTTGCCTCAGAGAGGAGGACATGGACCAATGGCTTGAAGTTGCAGGAAAGTAAATTTAGATTGGCTATCCAGAAAAATGTCTTCACTGTTAGAATAGTGAGGTGGTGAAATAGACTGCCTGGGGAAGTTAGGAACTCTCCATCACTAGAGATGTTCAAGAAGAGGTTGGACAGCCACTGTTTGGGAATGATCTAGGTGTAGCTGTGCTTATGATCTACCATGGGTATTTTCCATGCTTCTGGGCTTTGCTGGTTGCCCCCTGCCCCCTCTTTTCCACTACATGTCAGGGCATTTTTAAGCCTTCCCAGAGGCCTTGAGTGCTGACTACAGCTAAAGCTGGGGAATGGCAGGAGGTTTTTGTCGCGGGCGGTGTGAGTAAAACACCCTGGGCGAGAACGAGGAGGTAATAACACAGAGGCAGAGTCCCTTGGCACTTAAAGCGTAATGCAAAAAGTTTTATTTTGTATTCACGTTGGTAGTGAGGCTCAGTTCTCTTAAAGCTGTTACAGATACTGCAGTTATTCGCTCCCCTGGGAGAGATCACTCGTTCGGGATACGGAGGGGTTGCCCTGGGTTTTGGATATCGGTGGGCGTTCGCGAGACTGAGATAGAATTGGCCAGATTCCATCCTGCTCGTTTAGTCTCAGACTCCGGAGTGTTCTCTTCCGGATTCCTGGTTGTTTTATAAGACTGACACAATTGTCAGTATCCCCGTGAGCCAATTGGCTTCTATTGTTTTGTTTGTTCCCTTATATGGTGGTCTCCCCCCGGGTTTGTGTCTCCCCCCGGGTTTAAGGAGCTTAATAGCTATGGCGAAAGCGTGGTTGGTTATGCAATGGCTGCGGTTGCTTATCTGGGAGTGAACAGTGAGTACTTTTCAAAATGACAGCTGGTCACTCAGGAGCAAGCAAGCATTATACAACACAAGCATTATACAACAGTTTTGAGTGGAGACCAAAGCCAGAAGTTCCTAGTTAGAGGGTTTTGCCCCTCTGCTCAGGGTCAGACTGATCACCTTATTTGGGGTTAGGAAGGAATTTTACCCAATGGTCAGACTGGTATGGACTGGGGGGGGGGGGGGGGGGTTGCTTTTCTCTGTAGTGCGGGGCCTGGCCTTCTACCTGGGATCTCGTGAGCTTTATAGAAGCAAAACATTGGCTGCCATGGTTCACCTGTTTTACCTGTGGCAGGTTAGGCTGTTAGGTTTGTGTTGTGTCAGGGTTGATGGCAGTCTTCACCAGTTTAGATTATGGTTTGTATGGGATCGTTCAGGTAGGCATGATCTTGCCTCGGGCAGGGGATTGGACTAGATGACCTCTGGAGAGCCCTTCCAGCCCTACTTCTCTATAACTCTATGAACAGGTTTCCTGGTCAAAGTCTCAGTTCTGTTCTCTGAGTTAAGTCTTGGGGTTGAAGTACAAGTTTGTACAGCAAGCTGGCTTTCATGCTTGGCCCTGTATTTAGAAGTTAGTATATCCTACAACTTGGCCCCTGTTATACAGCATCATCAAAATATAAACATTAATCTAAATCCCTGGTGATTCCTATGTTAGGCACCATGCATTGCTCTTAGCCAGCACAAAGGTTTGATTTCAGAATATTTTCACAGTCAGGCAAGAAGCAGAATCTCTAAACCTGAATCCATCTGAAAAATAATTTCCTTATTATGTAAAAGCTGATATTTGCCTGTAATACTCCCTTCTGCAAATATCATCATTTTCTTATTCACAACATGGGTCCAAAAATAAGCCTGGTGAAACAGTCTCTAATGAGTCCCAAGGTCAGTAGCAACTTCTACCTGTTACAGAAAGCCTGTAGAAAATAAATGGCTCCTTAAGTGAAAGTGTTTCAATAGAAACAAAATAAATGCTCTGTCTCAGAAATGTCTCAACAATTTCTTTTGAGGGGAAGAAAAAAAAATTCCATGTCTGTAATATCTCAGCTGAAACCCTGTATGAAACCTGGCCATGCCAAAGTTTATCATTCCCAACACTCCTCCCCTTCCCTTCAGTCTGGAGTTTAAATAAGAGCCTTAGAGATGCTGCACATTGTTTATTTCTTGCATGAGATTGCTGCCAAATGCTTTTCATGATTTGGCAAAGAGACCAGGGGTGGGGAGAGACTCTTTTTTAGTGAGAAATGTCTTCCTGAAAAGCTGAATCTTAGCCAGCATTTTAGTTGTGGGTGCCTCAGTTGTGCAAAGATCATCTGCATTACCCCCCAGCTCCCAACTGTACAATCGCATGAGCATGTGAGCATTCCATACAGACAACTATGTGCCTGCCTATTTTGCTCCTACATTTAATGTTGCACATGGAGAAGAGCTCAGTCAGAGGCATAACTGTGGGTAATAGCATGCAAAAATATTTTTCTTGCCACCCTTATCTGAAAACATCACCTTCAGTGAGTGTTTGTTTTCCTGCTTTCATTTAATGCCATTTTTCCAGGTATTGAAAATAGTCATAGAGAATGCCTAAGCAGTCAGTAATCCTGGAAGAGGTGCAGGATTTGAGATATACTCAACTACACAACAGGGTTTCCTATTAGCTAGACTTAGGTGGCTCCATGCTGAGCATGTTGACTTTAGAGATCTATCTGCTCAGCATGCACACCAGCCTAAGGTGCCTACTTCACCCCATTCATGCAAAGCCTAGGTGCCTATCACAGGATTCTAGTTTCCATAATGGGGTAGGCTCCTAAAAGTTAATTATTTTGGTGCCTCACTTTTAGATAAGTAAACCTTTTTCTGGATTAATCCTAAATAGTGTTGTGAACAAAAAAAGTCTCTTCAGGAGATTACCTACTTAGCCACTTCCATTCTCAGCCACAATTTGGAAGATGATAATCATAGGATCATAGAAAAGTAGGACTGGAAGAGACCTCACAAGGTTATTTAGTTCAGCTCCTTGGTCAAGGCAGGATCATCCTTGACTGAACCATCCCAGCCAAGTATCTTAAAAACTTCCAAGGATGAGATTCCACAGTTTCTCTAGGTAGCCAATGCTTGACCACACTTATAGTCAGAAATCCAATCTTCCTAATCCCCAACCTAAATTTCCTTTGCTGAAGCTCCTAGTCCTGTCTCCTATGGCCACAGAGGAAAGCCCCTTTCCATCCACTCTGTAATCACCTTTCAGGTATTTGAAGACTGTTATCAAATCCTCCTTCAGTCTTCTGTTCTCCACACTAAATATTGCTATTTTTTTCAGCTTTTTCTTTAAATCCAGTTCCCTTGCTTCAAATATTTTTTGTTGCTCTGTGCTGAATTCTCTCCATACTGTCCACATCCTTCTTGAAGTACAGGGCCCCAAACTGGACACAGTACACCAGATGAAGCCTCCTCAGTGCTGAATAGAGTGGAAAAATCACTTCCCCTTGATTTGCAAGTGACACTGATGAATACAACCCAGTGTGCCGTTGGCTTTTTTTTTTTTTTGCAAAAAGAGCAAGCACACATTTCATGATAATGATAGTGATAATTACATGGATCAGTTCATAGCAAGTTAAATGAAGAGTTCCAGACCTCAATGAGGGGTCATCAGTTCAGGTGAAAGTCAGCTTTTAGGTATAAACTCAAGATACTGCTCTTGGGAGGTGAAAGGGAGGGAGGGAAGGCAGATTCTGCTATGCTACCATTAAGTAGAATTTTCCTCCAAGAGTGGTCCTCTAAACTTACGTTAAGGGGTCAAATCTGATCCTTTTGATTCTTTTCTGTTTTCCAAATGAGTCAATTCCTCAGTAATCATAACTCGGTAGTTCAACTGATGAATATGTCCATTTTATTAGTCCCCAGTTTTCTAGTTATTACAAAAATTTGATTTTTGTACAAGAGCATTTAGGCATAAAGCTACCTTTCTAAGAATGGAAGGGAAGGCCAATTTCCCCAAAATAAAAATAAAATTGGAAAAAGCAATTTTACCAAAGCCTCTGGTGGGACAGGAGACGTCCTTAGTAATCATAGTGTTTGAGCTTCCCATTGTGAAGACAGCAACGAAGGAAGATACATATGCAAATAAAGATGTCTTTTTGTGACAAAGAGACTAAAGGCATGCAATACATGGTTTTTATGAGTGATTAGTATTCTTTGTATACTTTCAAATACAGAAATTGATATTCATAAAAATGAATTATAATAAGGTTTACATCTTACTGTTATATCATGCATCGCTAACACAAAGTATAGTATATAGGATACAGGGAAATATTATGGAAAATACTGCAAGAACACCAGAGACAGATATGCATTTCTTGTACAGAAATATATAATAACAGCAGCTATAATGAGTTCAAAAAGCCTCAGGTAGTGAACAAATAACAATGAAATGCTCTGAAACTAATAAATCCACAAAGATATTAGTACAAGAATGATAATATGGTTTGAAGCTTTAGTTGGCTTGGAGCATCTCCTTCTAGGTCACTGGTTCAAGTAAGAGCCGGGTATATGCTATACGAGATAAAATAAAAGATTTGATTAATTTTTTTAATGAATTCACTTTGGTCATGTTTATTTCATGCTAATTTTGTAGCACTGTGGTTCTCAATGTTGTCAATACCTTTAGCCTACTGTAGCAGAAAACATCTAGCCACAGAGAAAGTAAAGGTGGAGGTGACTGTGAACTTGAAAACCAAATTGAAATGAACTAACTTTGTGGCAAGAAAATACAGGGAAATCATTTGTTTTAAATGAATGCTGTTAAGTAGTCAAGTCCAGCACTCAATTTATTTTGAGTATTTTCACCATAAGACTTGAATCTTAGAATGCCATTTATTCAGTTAAGGGGCTTTCATGTCATTTCACCTGTGTGTCCATTCAAAACTAGGCCACATAACCTGAATTTTATATCCCCCTCTCCCTGCTTAAAAAAAAAGTCTGTTTACAAACCAGCTGTAGATGAAGAACAATGTATTGGTCTTATTTGGATGGGGAAATAAATGATTTTGAATACCTATAACATAATTATGATTTGCTCCCAAACGATTGGTGATAGGAAAAACTGAAAAATATGTTATGCTGTAAAATCTTTGCCCAGCTTTTGTTCAAAAATGGTTCAGGTATGTAATACCTTGATTTGGCCATCTGGTCTGTGTCCAGATCAGGGGCAGCACTGGTGGGGGGGGGCTAAGACACCCCAAAATTTGCCTTAGCACCCTTCATAGTCACCCCTTCCACCACCACCTCTGTCCAAGCTCCCCGCCTCCCCACCCCCGGGCCATCACCGCGTCCCCTGCACAGCTGAGCCTGCCCTGCTCTTGCCCACAGACCGCAGAGGTGCAGTGCTCCCAAATTGCTCCCCCCACCAGGCTCATCCGGCCCACAGGGCCTGTGTCACCTTTGTCTGGGAAGGAAAGAAAAAAAGAAAGAAAGAAAAGGAGACAGGCAGGCTGTGTGTAGATGAATGGATGGATGGAAGGGCTGTGTGGAGAGACAGACAGAAAGACAGATAGGTAAAAAGACAGCCCTTCCATATTAGCATAATACTAATTAGCATCCATCCATATTAGCATAATGTCAGCATGTCATGTGTCAATAGTTTGGAGGTCAACAACATGATAGAATGAAGTAGCAAAGTTGAGGTAGCTACATTTTTCCCCCAGACGTTTGCATTTCTTTATTGTTATTATTGTTAATATTATTCATTGGTTTATTTTTTTCCTATTGATTTTCTGTGAATAAATATTACACTAGTGAGCTGCTGTAGTGGTTAAGAATGGATCTGTCTGTGTACAGTATACATTTTTATTCTGCTTTTGCAGATAACATAGATAAAGCACATGTTTAAGTGGGTATTGTTAAAAAAATAAACATGTATGTTTGGCCAAAAGATGTATAAAGCAGACCCCGAATTTTCTGTCTAGCCTACCTCACCTTCCCCCACCCTCCCACTGGGAAACGTCTGACACCACCGCTGGTCCATATGGGTGTGGAATCAGAAAAAATATATGCCTTAAACTTTGACTATTTTAGTTATAAGATGACATAACCGCTTTGTGGAGAATTGCTGGCTCTGTATAGTAGAACAGATAAGAGAAAGTGTTTGTTCTTTGTAACTCCTCTGCAACTGCTTCGCTCACCGCGGCCTTGAAGATAGCAAAAAGTATGTACAACTCTGATTTGCAGGTGCAAGAAGGAGGTTTGTGAACTAACCTCGCCTCCCCCATTAGTTCCCATCCTGATTACAGCAAAGAAATAATGAAGTAATGTTATAGCCGCTTTTCATGCTAATTTCACTATATGATCACGTGAGTTGTAAGCAACTGTTAAAAAGTATATAAGCCTCCTGATTTTGCTCTTGGGGGGGGACCCCTTCCAAGTGCTTGGGAAATCCATGTCACTTTGGAATCCCCCCTGCAGCTGTAGTTTCTTTTAAATAAAAGCTTCTGCTGACCTGACCCAAAAGTATGCTGTGTGTGTTTCCACGACATGGGCATAAATTTGTGTTGTTACTTTAAGTTATAGCACATGCTCCTACACATGCACTTTGTTGCTGGATACTATATCCCACGTTAGGCAAACTGCCCTTGCCCATTCCCCCCAGGTCCCAGTGTGCTGGAGCAGCTGGGGAAAAAATGGAGTGGAGAAGCTCTGGCTGGAAGCCAGAGCATTTCCCCGGAGGACCAAGCCTCTGTTTGTTCCAGTGTATGCTGTGGTAGAGTGTGCCACACTGCTTTTTTGGGGGGGAGGGGGAATAAGTTAATAATTTCAGCTCAGATTCTCATGGATAAGTATCTACTTAATGAAAAACAACGCTACAATCTGTACTTATTGGGAATCTAGCAGAGAAGCCAAGGAGAGGTGATAGAATGTATTTAAATATTTGCTTCCTACTTCAATGTGTTTTAAATAACACATTGCTAAAAATGTGGTCAGCGTTAATTCTGACTGGAGAAAGGAAATGTAGACAGGAAGGCAGGAAATACAGGAAATATAGGTAGAAGTCATCCTGCGGAACTGCAATATTTAAATATATATACAGCCCATAAAGGGTATTGCCAAATTGTGATGTAATAAATTCTTCCCTTTTCATGAGGCAACTAGTGTCCAATACAGTTTCAGATTTAAATACGTCCAGAATTATTACCAGACCTCATTCCACCACCTGCACCATGGATCCTTGCCCACCTAATTTCCTTTTGGAATGTCAGCTTTTACTGCCTGTCTTCCTCAGCACGGTTAAGTTGTCACGGTGAGGGTGATGTTTCCAAGGCTGGAGAGAAAATGGTAGTGAAGCTGCTGTTAAAATATATCTTGCTGGAGCCAGCGGCAATGGAAAATGAAGAACTAAAATCTAGCCATGTTTGGCCAAGATCCTGACCAAATATCCTGGCAGTGCAACTGTGGGGAATATTCAGCTAGCAATAATCTAGATTATAAAATTCTAGTCAGGATCTGGATGCAGAACCAGCAATGGAACCACCCTTCCCAAAATCACATGCAATCTGTTTACCATACTGGCTAAAGAAGTATTTTTATTTCTGGTGTTTTTATAGGACTATCTGCAGTATAGACATTTACTTTAAAAGCCATTACTTTTTACCAAAAAAGTTTGATTCTACAAAAATATAAATCCACCCACAGGCTATGGAATAACAATTTCACTGATTTGCCAGTCTTGAAAGAATCATTTTTCAGCATAATGGCAGATTTTATGATTGCCAAGATATCTGCTCAGTCTTTTTAGAGACTGGTTATTAACAAACAGATGACAACATAAGCAGTTCTTTTCAATAGCGGTATTATAGCTCACATGCGTACCAATCCTTGTAAAATAATCCAGTAATTTGAAGTTATCACAAAAATCTCTTGCACTGTCTTACATAGCTATACCATACACTTGCCCATATTATGTTAATGAATAAGTATATTTGTATGTGTGTGTTTATGCACAATTGTGCATATGTGAACACATAACCCCTCCTTCCCCTACCCCCAAACAGGTTCCAATACATAAAGAACTACATTAAAGAACATTTTGGTTGCTAAATTAAAGGAAAGCTGAAGTTAAGATTGCATATCTGGTCGGCACCTGGGGAAAGAG